CAGATGTCCAGTAGTTTCACAGATGTCCAGTAGTTAATTCCGCTTCGCAGTGAACACAAATGTTCAGTTTGGGCCCCCTCGTTTAACGTACCGGAGTATAAGGGGCTGTGGTCGGCCTAACACTCATCCCTAACCCCCCACATCCTCACTTGTTCCCACATTCGCCTCTACGGAGGGCCAATGAACACGGCTGTCGGTGCGCATCTCTGGGGGGGGGCAGAGGAGGGTCCATAGCCAACTGAGATTGACGGCGTGGCTGCTGCGGTCTGTCACGACGGCGCCCGGGAGTCAGGCGCAGGGAGGGCTCAGCGCGTGTCTAAACATAGCCGCGGTCTCACACGCGCCAGGTGGAGGTGGCAGCAGTGTACATAGTAGCCTGATTGGCGTGGGCCCCGGTGCAAATAATTCAATGGACCGATCCCCTTCGTTGCCCCCCCCTGTCCAATGTCTCTCCTCTGCATCGCCCCGGTGTCCGGGTCTCTCCGGCCCATGGGACCCTCCCCGCGGCGGTGCGTGCGCGTGTGTTGAACTTCTTTCGCACCGTACGTAGCCAACCGTGCTCTTCGTCACCCAGCGCCTCGACCCCCGGAGGACCCGCGAGCGGTGGAGTTGCACTCTCGATAGTAAAAGCACTATTGTACTCTTTGGTTTTTTCGGTAAAGTCACGTAGGTAAAACAATCAATAGAATCAATGAAAACACCTAAATTAAATCACGACGTTTCGGAGGCAACACAAGCTTCCTTCATCAGGTGTAAAAAAAAATTAACCCGTAAAAACAAAGTTTTTCACTATAAATCCTTTATATGCGTGGCATCGGTGGTATTTAAAACGGGCGGCTAGAGTCCTCTCGTCCTCTGGCTTGAGATGGCTGCCACCTATGGGTCAGATGATAGCCTGGCAGCATTAAGCAATTAGTAAATAAATATAAAAAAAATCCCCTAAAGTGTCAAATTTTAAATTTTTTTCACGAAAATTAATTGTCACGCACAACGAGTCTGTGTGCAAAATGTCAGCTCGATTGGATCACAGGAAGTGGGTTTAAAAACGACCGAATGATTTGCACGGTCGTAAGCAAGCAAGCAAGCACGCAAGCAAGTGAACTTAATATAAAGGATTTAAAAAGGCACAGCAAAATAGGGTCCCCTATATAACAATGTCTCATCACAAATAACTCGCTAGTTATTTTGCTGTGCCTTTTTTACACCTGATAAAGGAAGCTTGTGTTGCCTCCGAAACATCGTGATTTAATTTAGTTGTAATTATTTCATTGATTGTTTTACCTACGTGACTTTACCGAAAACAACCAAAGAGTATGAATCCTTGCAGTCACGAAAGCTTCAAATCTAGAATTCAAAGCACTGCTCAGCGGTCAGAGCGCAGAGGGCCGCTGAGATCCTGGGTTTGATTCCAGACTTGGGCCACTGCCTGCGATTCAACTGGGGGATGAATCTTCGCCTGTGCAAGGGAGCGTACAGTGAACGCCGTGGTGTTATTGTGGACAATCACAACGGGGGGGAGATTGGCATTAGTCGGATAATTACCTTGCCAGCCGCCGTGGCGGTGAGGTCAAGTCCGCGAAGGTGGCCGCTATAATTTTTCCACGCGGCTATAATCCACCGCGTTGAGCTATCATTTGTGGCCAGGTTGCTTCTGAAAAGGAAAGCTACAAAGTTAAATTCAGACATTCAGACGTTGTCTTCTCGACAGACCTGTTCTTCACCCGAGGACGGCTGCTTGCGTTGTGGCCGAAACGTCGTGAGAATTATTTAATGTTTTATTTTTATTATTTTATTATTTCCATTCTACGTGACTTTACCGAAAGAACCAAGAAGAAAAAGCTACGAAGCTCAATGGGCTTTATCTGGTAAAATAAAAAAATCTCATGATTTAAGTAGCCCACAGTTTACGGAACCGCACGTCATCGACTGTAACCGTGGTGGTACCAATTTAAACTAAAATCTATAAACTATTTTTGTTTATTTGACCAGGTAAGGCCCGCCGAGCCAAATGGCTCTTTTTCAGAAGTGACCTGGCAATCATAAATGACGGCTCAGCGAAGTGGCTCATCATCATCATCACGTGGAATGTATACCAGCTAAATGCGCTAAACGCGTGACGTTGATTCTAAATTAGGGGAAAACCGGAGAAAAAGCCACACGACCACTGGGAGAGAGACACGCAAACTTCAAATATACAGCAGCAGCAGGCGTCAGGGTTGGGATCGAACCCACAAATTCCTGTGTACCAGGCGAGGTAGGTAACATCTCTTAGCCACTGTGATGATGATGAGGGAGACACACAAACTCCAAATACACAGCAGCAGACGGTCAGGGTCGGGATCGAACCCACGACTTCCTGTATACCAGGCGAGGTAGTTAACATCTCCTAGCCACCGTGATGATGATGATGATGGGAGAGAGACACGCAAACTTCAAATCTACAGCAGCAGTTGTCAGGGTCGGGATGGAACCCACGACTTCCTGTACACCAGGCGAGGTAGTTAACATCTCCCAGCCACCGTGATGATGATGATGAGGGAGACACAAACTCCAAATATACAGCAGGCGTCAGGGTTGGGATCGAACCCACGAGACCTCCTGTATACCAGGCGAGGTAGTTAACATCTCCGAGCCACTGTGATGATGATGAGGGAGACACACAAACTCCAAATATACAGCAGCAGGCGTCAGGGTCGGGATCGAACCCACGACTTCCTGTGTACCAGGCGAGGTAGGTAACATCTCCTAGCCACCGTGATGATGATGATGATGGGAGAGAGACACGCAAACTTCAAATCTACAGCAGCAGGCGTCAGGGTTGGGATCGAACTCACGACGTTCTGCAGAGCAGGCGAGGTAGTTAACATCTCATAACCACCGTGATGATGATGAGAGACACGCAAACTCCAAATATACAGCAGCAGGCGTCAGGGTCAGGATCGAACCCACGACCTCCTGTATACCAGGCGAGGTAGGTAACATCTCCTAGCCACCGTGATGATGAGGGAGACACACAAACTCCAAATACAGAGCAGCAGACGGTCAGGGTCGGGATCGAACCCACGACTTTCTGTGTACCAGGCGAGGTAGTTAACATCTCATAACCACCGTGATGGTGATGAGAGCGAGACACACAAACTCCAAATATACAGCAGCAGGCGTCAGGGTTGGGATGGAACCCACGAGACCTCCTGCACACCAGGCGAGGTAGTTAACATCTCCTAGCCACCGTGATGATGATGAGAGAGACACAAACTCCAAATATACAGCAGCAGGTGTCAGGGTTGGGATCGAACCCACGACCTCCTGTACACCAGGCGAGGTAGTTAACATCTCATAGCCACTGCGAGATGCTGCTGCTGCGTGGAGAAGCGGGGGGTGGATTTGAGAAACCTCCACCACCAACTATCCCGTGACACCGTAATCGCTGTGCTAGAATCGTGGTTCCATGCTAATCGATGAATCGATGAATACCTAAATTTGTATTTAAAGCTTTCGTGACTGCAGGGATTCATATTCATAAAATAATATAAATATATTGTTTTATATTTATATTATTTTATTATTTCCATTCTACGTGACTTTACCGAAAGAACCAAGAATACGAGGAATACCTCTCAATAAAATATAACATTCGAGGAATCGATGTGACTGTGATTAAGCAGTGGCTCGATTAACGCGGATCGAGGAATCGATTCCGACGCTCTGGGTCCGGTAGGCGGGGTGGGGCGCAGGATGACGTCATCCGGCAAAACGACGTGATTTTATATTTTTATATTATTTGGGTCTTTCGGTAAAGTCACGAAGATAGGTTAAAAGAAAATAACAATAAGTAATATTTTAAAATACTTTCTTTAAAAAACACGCTTTTATTAAATGTACCGTACGAGTAATGGCAGAACTCCAGGAAGTGGCCCCGAGGCTTGCCGTGACGTAAGGGACCACGTGGTGACTTACAGCCAACGTCAGTTGAGCGTGGACAATTAGAGCCAAGCCGAAACATAACATATACAAAATGTTTAAAAATACTTTCTGTATTTTTAGTGATAGAATATAGTATTGTCATCAATATCACATAGGTATACCAAGTTTGCAATCTATAACACATTGGAAAGTGGGTTAAAATAGAGTTACACGATTTGAGGATACAACAACGACAACAGACAGAGTGAGTTAATTCTAGATTTGAAGCTTTCGTGACTGCAAGGATTCATACTCTTTGGTTTTTTCGGTAAAGTCACGTAGGAAAAAAAAATCTAATAAAATAATTATAAATGAAAATAACTCAATTAAATGATTTTCATTTATTATAATAAAATAATAATAGATGAAAATAACTCAATTAAATGATTTTCATTTATTATAATAAAATAAAATAATAATAAATAAAATAACTCAATTAAATGATTTTCATTTATTATAATAAAATAAAAAAAATATAAATGAAAATAACTCAATAAAATTATTTTCATTTATTATAATAAAATTATAATAAATAAAAATAACTCAATTACATTATTTTCATTTATTATTATTATTTTTTACCGACGTGACTTTACCGAAAAAAACCTAAGAGTAGAGAGAGTGAGTTAAATAAAAAGCGTGTAATATAAAAGAGTGCGGGCAACTGCTGAGACAGACTGTTTTAAAGGTTGAAAATGGGTGTAGCCCAAGGGTACATTTTTATTTCAGTTATTTTCTTTGAACCTATCTACGTGACTTTACCGAAAGACCCAAAGAATATAAATTCCTGCAGTCACGAAAGCTTCAAGTCAAATCGTGATTTTAGTGTATAACTTCACTGCCTCATTACGTCATTATACCGCGTGAGAGCGATGGGGGCAGAGAGACCCAGGATGACGTCATCCTGCCAAAAGAGACCCATGATGACGTCATCCTGCCCAACACCGCGAATTTAGTTGATGACGCCATTTGCTCGTGACGTAATTGTTGCCTCGTGACGTAATTATTCCCTCGTGACGTAATTATTTCCTCGTGACGTCACGCGCGCGCGCGCAGGTCACGTGTTCACCGTGGCGAGGCGCAGCAGAAGCAGCCAAGATGGACGCGGGCTTCTTCAGGGTGAGACGGCGCCGTAGCCGACACGGCCACGGCCGCCGCCGCCGCTCTCGATTCTCTCCTCCCCTCGTTACCCTCTCCTCCTCCTCCCTGCTGCTCGCCGCGCGGCGTTCGCGCGCGGAGGCAGCGGCAGCCGTCGATTCGCCACTCGGCGGGCAAAAGATGGCGGAGCGCGTGTCGTTCGCGGAGCTTCGGCGGCGGCGGCGACCCGCGCGCCCCCTCCCCATTGGTGGAGCGCGCGTCACGTGGTGCGAGTGCGCGCACGCGATTGGTCGACGCGCGAGGCCGTTGAGTGAGGCCCGTTGCAGGAGGCTTTCAAGGCCTCGGCCTTGGTGTGGTCATATTCTTAGGTGTTTTCGGTAAAGTCACGTAGGTAAAACATCAAAATTAATAAAAAATAATAAAATAAATTTTAATGTTCATGTTTTACCTACGTGACTTTACCGAAAACACCTAAGAATATGATTCCTTGCAGTCACGAAAGCTTCACGTCTAGAGCTTGGTGTGGTCGTCACGCCGAGGCACCCCTCACCCCTCACTACCACCACCACGATGTCTGGCTGCGTCTTCGCTGCGTGTGGGACTCCTCTCGTGCAAATGAGGGCCGCTCTTGCGGCAAATGGAGACGTGTTATAAACTAGGGCCCCCGTGAGTAGATTGCTGGGTAAACAAAATAAACGCAAACCCCTCATGTGGCCATCGGCTCCCGTGTCGCCTCCGTGTCGTGTTCGTCGACATTGCGTCTCTGGCTGCTGTGCGCTTCGTTCAGTCTGTGTGTGTGTGTGTGCCGGTCTCTGGCGTGTGTCCGAGTCCTCTCTGCGTCTTTCTCCTGTCTGTGTCCCATCGCTCTGTCCCCCCTGCCTGGCTCGTCCGTGTCTCATTACGCCCCGTGTCCGACTCGTGTTGTGTTTGTCTAATGCCGCTGTCTCTTCTGTGCTGGTTTTCTGTCCGACGACTCTGTCCTATGTCTCTTATCTCCGCGTCTGTCTTTTGTATGTTGTCCTTTTGTTCTCCCCCGCACCATCGATTAGCACTTGGCTACGTACGGTGCGAATGAAGTTCATCATACATCTGTGCTTCCAACATTGTGCCTCGCTTGTCTCGCCTTTCTCGTTTATGTTATTAGATATTTAGTGATATACGTTTGTTTTTATGCTGACTAATGTTGGTGTTAATGTTTGAACGCCCCATTGACTTCATTATAAATGTATTAAAATTAATTAAGTGGGAAAATGTCTTTGAAGAAGAGCTTCATGTCTCATAGAAATAAAGATTCGGAGTCGGAATTATCGCCGCCGACTGCAAAATATTATCAGGACTCCTGACAATTAGTCTTCATGTTCTGTGATACTTCCTTGGATAAACAAACGTAATACTACTGTAACGTTGATCCTGTGTGGACTTTACTTTTCGTGCACGGTGAACACGCCCGTGTCCAATAGTGATGGTGAGTGTGGTGGTCTCGCTCTCTCGTCCTCATCGCTGCACTGTTCCACAGGGAACGAGTGCCGACCAGGACAATCGCTTCTGCAACAAGCAGAAGAAGCTCATGAAGCAAATGAAATTTGCCGAAGGACTGGAGAAAAAGGTGATGAATGATCCAACACACCACGGACTCGAAGACGATGCATATACTATCAGAGCATGTGTTTTTGTTTGCATGTTCGACACAAGTATATGTGGTTAATCCAGACATGATTCCTTGCGAAAGGTTTCTGTTTGGTGGTTTAACATCTTAACACCTATATTCTTGGTTCTTTCGGTAAAGTCACGTAGAAGGGAAATAATAAAATAATAAAAATATAAAACTATAAAAAATTCTCACGACGTTTCGACTGCAACACAAGCAATCATCATCAGGTGTGATATCCACAGCAAGAACATTGGAAAATGTGATTGCTTGTGTTGCAGTCGAAACGTGAGAATTTTTTATTGTTTTATTATTTTATTATTTCCCTTCTACGTGACTTTACCGAAAGAACCAAGAATATGAATCCCTGCAGTCACGAAAGCTATAAATCAAAATCTTAACACCTGTTTTATTGCCAGAAAGGGTAAAATCTATTCTTATATGTTTATACTGGCAAGGGAGGTCCCATGGCGTACACTACACCACACTCATTCGCAGCACGCTGCAGGCACACTAAAAACGAATTGCGATGTGGAAAATGCGATCGTCCATGGCCTGTACCGTACACGCATTATAGTCTATGGGCATTCGGTTTTCTCGGATTTGTTTGACTGCAACCATGGTAGCTCCACTGTGGTTTGGAAGGGAATGGTGGCTGCCAAACCGAACACGTTTATGTAAATGAGTAGTACTGCAGACATGAGAGTGTGCAACGACTGGAAACAAACACGAGGAATGCATTTCTGTCAACCCCTTATCACAGTGCCTACCTTATTACAGATAATTCAGACCTTATTGTTCACCCCGTTTCCTTTCCATCTCGACGTTCATCCATCGAAATCCCATCACAAGGGAGAAACGCAAACGTACAAAAACCATGGCCTTTTTTCCCCATATTCAAACGGCTGTCTGCCGTGTGGACCTGAAAACTCTATTTCTCGGGGTAAATCGTATGGGTTGACAGGTATGGGAATGATATTACAGTTCAAAGAAATGTGTTTCTCATTGTTTACAGAAAGTGTTGAAGTTTGCCGATTATTATTATTGCTGCCCTTGGGCATTGCAAACTGCGGATTTACCCAGTTTGTAGATTAACCGTGCATGGTGAAATTTATTTCTTAAGTATGTTTTACTTGCACGCTGGTTTAATCATTAGCTACTCCTCACTCGTCAAATGTCATCGACTCGGAGCTCACGTGACTGCCCATGCGTTGGTAAGTAAACCGGATAAGCAATGAAAACAGAAAATTAGTCCTGGATTCACTCCTGTTTCACATCGCTAAACGATTAATACATTTCATACCTAAGTGACATTGTACTGTATTGTCTAAGTGTTTTCTTTACCTGGGCCACCCCTTCCTCTGTTACCCCAGATAATTGGAAGTTTATTGAACCATACACCAATGCTAGACTATATCGTGTTGCGTACGAGTGCATGTCAACTGTAAATTGAGTCTTAAAGGAAAAAAATAGACTTTGATAGCATTGGTGGAATGCATGCCTGGATTAAGTGACGATAGTGGTGGAATGATGCATCGTTTCGTCAATTGCTGCGGATTTCTAACCCTCGTGACGTCTGACTCAAGTTCCGTGCTTTCGAATCGAGGAGTTTTCATTCCTTTTTGTTACCTCATGGGTTCATGTCACCCCTGTAGCCGCCGATTGCTCTCCCATCCATCGCAATGTAAAACAAAAATAACACTCCATTCTTAAACATCGGCAGTGAATCACGACAGTGGAATCGCTGCATCTATGATAGTTATTAAAATATGGCCACTAATGAGATCATGTGCAGGAGTCGGGTGGACTATCGCATCGTGTTGACGGAGGGATGATGACATCTTAGGGAGGCCGTCGTCCAGCAGTGGATTGATCATGGTTGTTGACAATAAGCGTGTGGGTGAGACACGGACGAACCTGTGCTTGCTAGATCTTCCGCTCCACGGTGTTTATGATAATGATGGCAGCGAACACGACTGTTGCGACGCTTCTGACGGGCAGAGCCTCGGTTTGGACGAACTCAGCAGGGTGTGCGGCTCGTGTTGACTGGTGTTTCCCGCTGTCTCCAGGTTGACATGACCAAGGTGAACCTGGAGACCATCAAGCCGTGGATCACGCAGAAGATCACACAGATGCTCGGCTTTGAGGACGACGTCGTAATTGAGTTCGTCTTCAATCAGCTGGAGGAGAAGGTGAGACACGCACTTGTGACACCTGCGCCCAGCACCAGCGATCCGTCATCACGGACCGGAGAGCCACAGCGCTCGGCTGTGACGTCACGGCGATCCCAGTTGGCATGTGACGATTCATCAGCTCGACGATTCGATCAGTTATCCCAATTTGCGGTCACGATTTGATTGAATTTGTGCTCTGTCTCATTGCTTTGTTTTTACACCTTGAACAACAGTGTGTCCTCGAAAGAGCGGGATGCCTGATAGGGGTGGGGTGTACCCCGGTATACATCCGTTTTTGGAACCAAACCCCATCAATTGCATTTGGCATTATTGGTCTCGTTATATTGTTCTTTGTATTCAATAACAAATTACATGAAAATCATTATAAAGGGGAAATAAAACCTCCGCTGAAACCACCAAAAATCACAAGCCAATACCTGAGCGCACAGAATCCAGTGATGACTGGCGGGGCTGCGTGTAAGCGTGACGCGTAAGAGCAGCATGGAGACGCAGCTCACGACAATTTGCCGTTGCGTTCCAGTGTCGAGCGTCAGCAGTGCTTTGATTTATATTTTTTATTTCAAATTTTAGCGGTTCCCTCCAAAACGACCTGTTACACGCGGTATATCCACGTGCGCGCATCATTTCGAGGACAAACTGTATAACTCGTCGCTTATTATGTTCACTTTTGTTGAGACCGTCAGCCTAAATGTTACATTGTAAATCGTAACACTCTCGTGCATGAACTGTGAACAACCTGTCGTCAATTGGACGCACATAACATGAACCGTGAGAATCGATTCAAATCGAGGGATCTTGAGTGTCATTACACGCCTAATTGCTAGCGTCCGCAACCCTTTTACATGTAACCAAAGCCTTGAGCTTGGCTCCGTTTATCCGCCCGTCCGTGATGGCTCTTTGCTGCTGTGCACAGTGCGCTGTAGCGATTGCAGCAGAGGCCTTTTGCTGCACTCTCTCCACGTGGTAGGGTTGCTGCGATATGGCCGTAGTACGATACAGAGGGACTCACGATAATCGCATCACCCCCTTCGCAATATATCGTGTTGCGATTAGTGTAAAAAATAGATTTAGTTTCTTAACAAAAACATTTATTTTTCGATTTAAAGCTTTCGTGACTGCAGGGATTCATCTTCTTGGTTCTTTCGGTAAAGTCACGGAGAATGGAAATAATAAAATAATAAAAATAAAACATAATAAAATAAAAACATTTATGTATGAATTAGAAGAATAGTTTAGTCCATTTTGGTATCCGCGTCTTTCTGATAGCACGAGGCTTTTACGAAGGAAGGAAGGAAGACTCATCACACGGGTGATGTCGCTAGGTGTTATGGAATTTGGCAAATTGGAACCAAGATGCTGGCGCGGAGTGGCCTAGTCAATTTGAATGACGTTGCGGGATCTTCTCACGTCCGCAGAGAGGCAGACGACGCGTGATATTTTCCAGTTAATGCGCACCACAGTAATAACCAGGGTGGCCCGTGGGATTTGAACCACGAACCTCTGCTATGAGCGGCACCTTCTGAGCTATGTCTGAAATAACCAACACAATATTTAATGTTCTAAATAAATAAGTGCTTTGCAAAATGTGTTCCAGAGTAATTGGCAGCAGAAGGGTTATATATGACGTCATCATAATGTTTTCTTGTGTAACTGCCAAATATCAGCATTTACAGAATGTAACTATATACAGTGACTAGGATACGCGGAGCAGCCTTCTGCTCGGTGAACCGCAGTCGAATAATAAATATTTTGGGTAGGAACTACAGCAAAGCACAAAAACAACACGATGCAGATGCCAAGTCCGATTCCACTAGATGGGTTGTAGGTGTGCGGTACGGCGACGATTCGTATCGCAGCAGCTCCGGCGCGGGAGAGAATCCAGCAGAGGCAGCAGTCGCTGCTCATGGCGCACGCAGCTTCACGTAACGACGCGCTAGCGACGAGGCCTTGCCTCTCTCTCGTCGTCGTTGTTGTTGTTGTTGCTGGGCGCCTGTTGATGAAGGGCGGGGGGGTGTATGAACCTTGAAATGTTGTTGTTGTAAGCAAATGCACAATGACTGTTGTTGACTGTCCACACTCTGTGTTGATGGTGTCTAATGATGTGATTTATGATTTAAAAGGCCTGACACCCAATTTGGAGTTATTTCATCTCAAGTTGTTAGCTCACACATCATGACTCCTATTCTCCAGTGCTGTGTTAAGCGGAGGTGAGTCTGACAAGCAGGTTAATTGCACAAAGTAATAATTGTAATGCCTTAAACTGTTATCCAATGTGTTTTGTAGCTGCCAATCGGCAGAAGTACATTTTATACTCGATTAACTATGAATGGCATATTTGTTTTTAAAACTTAATTTAAATGGTGATTTCAAATCCCAAGTGTGGTTTCCCGGGTCTCTTTTTTTCGTTGAAGTCAACTTTTGTGCACGCCCTAAGTAAGTAAGCAAGCAGTGTGTGGCGTTAAAGGTTGAGAGAAAGAACGCTCAAACACGCAGCCCGACCCGGAAAACCGCACTCGGGATTACGAACGGCGGCAAAAACTCACATGTTAATTTAAACAATGTACTAATTATATTCGGAGCATAATTAACCGCATCTATTTTAAATTTACTATCGCTCGTGGCCAGTGTGTGTGTGTGCGCGCGCGCGCGTGTGTGTGGTTAAACGTTACAATGTTATTCATAATCAACGTTTTTGGGTTTAGATCGCGTTATTTATAAATGTGTCGTAACCCTCCACCACCTGACACATTTATAAATAACGCGATCTAAACCCAAAAACGTTGATTATGAATAACATTGGTCGCGAAAGCCTACGTGTTAAACGTTACAATGTTGACGTTGATTTTTCAAGAAAAAAAAGTTGCAGTGGTGGTGTTCCACGCTCAGATTTAGTCACTTCTCTCTCCGAACTGAGGTAATCGCGGTGGCGCCGCTGCTGCTGGTGCTACGAGTGAAATCTCACGGCAGTAGTGATTAACGATCCCATTTTTCGATACTCAACCTTTACGGATGGGACACTGGATAAATAAATGTCCGCGATACAACAATTATCGCAATATCTGTTTCCCGTAACCTGCTACTTGCAGGCCACAGTTGTATCGCGACGTATCGTGTTTGTGCTTTTCCAGCACCCGCAAATGATACGCGCGTTCTTCAGATGCAATTTGTTCACTGCCCGCCTGCCGTGACTGCGATAATTGTGCCGCGTATGTAATTAACCGTTAAATAATTAAACGGACTGCTGAAAGTATGTCGGTCATTTTGTGAAGCACCGATTAAATGGGTTAACGGCCATTTATTCCCAACTCTATTTTTACCGTGCTTTTGTTATGTCATGTAAAATGAGCGGCGATAATTCTGCTAGAATAATATTTTTGCTAACCAGCTAAATATTATCCAGGAAAGCCGAACTTTTTCAGGCGGGCTCCTGCATTGCGGTGTTTGATCATGACCAATTGCGTTGTGATGGCGAGTCTAACCCGTAGGACAATCCCAGTCGTGGCAGCATTGCCTCAAACGCTAGCTTAGGGGCGTTGTGTGTCGCGGGGCCCATCTCATGGTTGCTTGTTCGTGTGTTGCGATTCAGATGTGTGGTACATGGTTGGTAATGGCTTGCGCTAGCGGGGGAGGGCCCGGTGAGAGAGACGCATGTCTGTCGGCCCTGGGGGCACGTCCCGGCCCTGCAGCCTGCCCGCCCCGCCGGCGAGCGCCACGTCTGAAGACGCCACTCTCGCATGCACTCTCCTTCCTTCCTCCGATGTCTTAGTACTTCCGGTGCATCCTCACTGCCACCGCACCACCACGATATCACGACTACTACCACCACCACCACTGCCGATACTCGTCTCGCCAGCACCGGTGAACCGCTGTCAGAGATAGCTCGACCGCTCTCTGTGTTGTGAGTTAAAGTTGTGTGCCCAGTTGTGAGCAGGGTCAGCACTAGAACATCTCTCCCTGTGGTATTATTGTGTAAGTTTCGTAGTGTGCAGTGGACCGTTATAAATAGATGAATCGGCTTTTTTCACCTTAATCACTTAACATAAAGGAAACAAAGTGTCTTAGTCTGTCGGCCTATTGCTCTTCCACACTTGCGTTAATCGGCAGCGTTTGTTTAAGTGAACTTAAATGAACATTTGTGCGTCGTCAGACTTTTATTGGCAAGAGCACTCCCGTCATCACGACGGTGCCCTGTTAATCTAATAGGTGCGGAGTGATGTTCATGCAATCGCACACGATTAGCATACGCAGCACCGCGTAAACACGCATTGAGTGCCCTTGTGGAGCATTATTCGTATTTAAATGAATACATACTGGTTCATTACTCTGCGTAATATTTTTCCGCGTAAGCGAGCCCAAGTGATTTTGTTCTTCTGCGGCAAGCGCCACTGATCCCCAATGCCTCCACCTCGCACGGCGCTGCTTTGGATGTCTTCGCCCTATGCTGGCCCTGCTGACGAGTGGGCTCGTATGCGACGCTCCGCTTTGGTAGCCATTGTTTTACGGGGAGCCCGACGAGGAGGGCAGGCTGTGACGACGCGCACACTCGGCCGTGGGTCTCGCCACGCGGACCGCGGCATTGCCGACTCGCCCGGGGGTGTGTCGCTAGATTTAGCGACTTTCTGCGTTTCCCCTAAAAGCAATTACATTTAGTGACTTCGTAGGACGAGGGCATGGTCGTCGTGCGGGGTTTAGTAGGGGTTCCGAGGAGTGTGCGTTAAGGATCGTCAATCCTTTATCGGTTCACCTGGTTCTCCTGAGCCCTTGTTAGCAGGACACCACGCTGTACCCTTATTAGTTGGCGACACCTTGCCGAGAAAATCTGAGGCTTCACTTATTTCTGTTTTCCGCCTTGCCCTTTAATTCTGGTAGCCAAGTCGCCCTTGGAAAAAAGCGATGTAGCCAGGCAAATTAACTCCAGATTCGGAATCTTTTTGTGGCCCTTTAAGTTGCCTCTTGCGGCCGTCGGGGGGCGTGTGGAGTCCAATGGGCCGTGGCCGTTCTTGCTCGGCAACGCGGGGTGTGTAAGTGCTGGAGCATAGAAGTGGATTACAACATTGGATTTTGGAAAAAGCTCTGTGCGTGCGCTCAAAGCATTTAGAGCCGCGTACCCGACGGCAACGAGGTGGGTGCAACTCTGTTGAGTGCCTCGTAAATTTAACACGGAGGTGTTTACGTTAAACGCTTGAAAATGTTATTTTATTGGCGATGTGGGTGGTGAGGGGGGTGGGGGGGTCTTGCGACAAAAATTTAGCCAGATCATTACATGGCCTGACCCAAAAAATTTATTACGAATCACTGCAGTTGTCTAACGCCGTGTCTGACTACTTGAGAATGACAGTCTAGTGACTTTTTCGAGGCCTGTTGGGCGACTTTACACTTTAAGAAGTTTGCGTCACTGACAGAGGAGTGGATGGGGGGGGGGGTGTCTTGATGGGACTTGTGGGCGAGAGATTGTTGGGGGGGGGAGGGGGGGGGCTCTGGACCCTGCATGTGTCAGTTTGACGAGTGACGTGCATCGGACTGCCGATTGGCGCTCGGGCGCTGAAATCGGCGCGGTGTGGCGCCATTGTGCCCCTTGTTGCCCTCAGAACCCCGACGGGCGCCTGATGCAGATCAACCTCACGGGGTTTCTCAACGGCAAGAACGCGCGGCTCTTCGTGGGCGAGCTGTGGCCGCTGCTGCTGAGCGCGCAGGAGAACATCGCCGGTATCCCCTCCATCTTCCTCGAACAGAAGAAAGAGGAGATCAAGCAGAGACAGGTTCGTCACGCTCGCTCGCCCCTCGTCAACGGCCACCATCAATTCGCCGCCCGGTGAACGGCCTCCGCAGGCTGCCCGCCGCGTCTCGCCGTCACGCGACGCGACTTTCCGTCCGGCGCCGGCGCACGAGCCGGTTTTTACCGCTCCGTCTCCTGTGTTGGGCGTCCTCTCTCGGACGTGTCCCATCATTGGGCTGCCGCTCAGGAGTTAGTCCTTGCCACTGGCCGTCGTACCCCCACACCTCCAATGAGCACGGTTGGCTACGTACGGTGCGAAAGAAGGTCAAAGTATACTTAAATGTTACTGGTAGGAACCCACTGGTTCCACCAGCCCACAGGGGATTATTGTGTCCGTCCATCGTGCAGGGAGCGGCTGGGTGGGGAGGGAGGGGTGGGGCTGGGTGGGGAGGGGCTGGGTGGGGAGGGGCTGGTCACCCCGTGGTGCCCTTATAAAACTCAACGTTTAACCTACTCACGCCGGCTTGTGCCCGCCCTCACAGTCGGGCATATTTGCGGAATACACCACGCCGCCGTTGACCCTGCAGGCCATTGACCGAGCAACCCAACGTTCCTACCAGCTCCCTCCGCAGGAGTATGTTTATATATGGGCTGTGGTTGGTGATTCGTGATTATTTGCAGTGCTCAGTGGTTCGTGGTGATGAGAAATGGCTAGTAATTAGTAGTAATGTTTCGTTAGTGATGGGAACATGATGTACATACATACATCCATACCTCAAGCCACGAGTGTCCTTCCCAAGCATGCTTGGCTTCATTCGCAGCGTCACATAACACATTGCTCGTGTGTAGCCCTCTTGTTAATCCACTGCTGGATGAGGACTTCCCCATCCCGTGTGGACTGAGGGAGTTATTTGACAGTACTTCACTGCTCCGTGCGGGTTGGTAAAGGCGGGGGAAGCATAGGTGTTGGAGAACAGTGCAGTACAACAATGTATTTTGCGATTCTGCCACCTGTTGACAAGGCGGCCCTGTGGCAGCCGATGACGCCTGTCTTAGACACGAACATCTTCCATCCAAGGGCTGTGCAGGCCCAGCCCTGCTTGGCTTCCGAGATCTGACAAGATCGGGTGCACTGTGGATGATTTAGAGGCGTGTGTGCTGCTTGTGAATTGTAAAAGGCATCATCTGTTCATCCAGAGATGCTTTGGGATTTCGATTTAAAGCTTTCGTGACTGCAGGGATTGATCTTCTTGCTTCTTTTGGTAAAGTCACGTAGAATGGAAATAATAAAATAATAAGAATAAAACATCCTCTGTCTTCTCGACAGACCTGTTCTCCACCTGAGGACGGTTGCTTGCGTTGTGGCCGAAACGTCGTGAGAATTATTTTATTATGTTTTATTTTTGTATTATTTCCCTTCTACGTGACTTTACCGAAAGAACCAAGAAGATGCTTTGGGATGTTCATTGTTGTTAATGCAGCTTTGGGATAGTAACCTCAGCAGACAGAGCTCTCCTGGCCGCCTCCTCTTGAGAGCCTACCGAGGGGTGACGCTTTCCTGCTGCTGCCGGTTTCAGCTGGAACAGGAGAAGCTGGCAGCTCTGAAGATGAAGGAGGAGGCGCTGGCGGAGAAAAGGGAGGAGGAGAGGAAGGCGCGGGAGCGCTCCAAGTCCCCTCGTCGGAGCGGCCCCACAAGGTGAACGGGCGCCTCTCGCGCAAACGCATGGCCGGGACAACGGTCGGCCCTCGCGAGCACTGTGGTGATGTCGCCATCACCGAGTGGTCGAATGTGTGCTGCTATTGTCGTCTTTGTGAGTGTGCGTTGGAGCGGTGGTACATTGGTTAGTGCAGAAATTCAACGTACATACGTAGCGCTACGAACCTGGTGACCAGACTTTGGGTTACCACTCAATGTCTGAACTGGTCCAGGCCTTCAATGAGTTCCTGGTGCGGTGTGTAAACGTCAGCACTGGGGAGACAAAGGCAGCCAGGGATGGTCCTGGCCACCCACCCCCTCGCGTGCCATGCCTGCCTTCGCAGGTGCCACTCGCTAACATCACTTGTGTCGACTACACGTGGGATCTTTCTTATTGGGGGCACGTGAAAACGCGTGTTTGTCCGCGTGCCTTGGCGTGCGTTTGTCCAGGCGCCGCTCCCACTCTCGCTCCCCACGCCGTCGCGACCGCCGTCGCTCCTCCTCCTCGGCCTCCCCGTCCCCGTCACGGGCGCCGTCCCACGCCCCCTCGCACCACCCCCACGCCGCTCTTCTGGAGGCCGCCAACGCAGCCGCCGCCGCCGCGCAGCCGACCCCGGCGCCGGCCGCGACGCCGGTGTCGGCCGTGCCCAACCTCGCGCAGCTGTCGGCGCTGGCGCACGCGCTGGGGCAGATGAGCCACCCGCCGGCGGGCACTCACCATGGAGACTCGCCCCCGGCGCTACCCGATCAGTCGGCGGCGCACCACGGTCTGGCGGCATCGTCGCCGGTCCCCGAGGTCACCTCCACCACCAGGTGGGCACCAGCCTCGTCCCCAGGGGGTTCCGAATTGCGTCGGCGCCTTGTTCACTTTCGCAATACCGTACGATGTGATATGAATTCTCACGATACGACACGCGGTATAGCTTACCCCGTATGTCTGTAATTATATTTCGCAATTTCATCGTTAATGCATTCCAAGCAAGTTTCACAGCGTTAATGCGCTAGTTCGCTCTGTCGATTTGTCCGGCGAACACGAGGGCATACGCTAACTCTCGTAAAGATAACTATTAATGACGGCCTAGGCGATGACATCACGTGGCCGCACACGCGCTCGCTCGCATCCCCATGACGACGTCTTCACCCGTGACGTCACCTCGTTCGTTGTGCGGCTAGCAACGCGACTTCGTCATCATCGCCGTTTAACCTCTGCCGAGGACCAGACGTGCGTTGAAATGCGTGAACACAACCCGTGCATATCCGTGTGTTTTGTTCTCCCTTGTGTTTGCGTTCATCCATCACGCGAGAAAGCTCAATTAACAACCCTACGCATCATGACAGATTTCCGGGTTTGGTCGTGTAATGATCTCGCAAAACTTTTGTTGATGCCCTGTCGGCCTGCGTGTGTGCGTGGACCCAGCGAGGTGATGAGGCTGGAGGCGGCGGCGCTGGCGGGGGGAGTGGAGGTGGGAATGACGGCGGTGCCGCCCCCGTCGCTGCCCGCGAAGAAGCAGCAGGAGGTGGAGGCGGCCGACTCGGAGGGCGAAGCGCGCGCCGCTCGCGGCAAGGACCGGCGCCGCTCGCGCTCGCGCTCACACTCCCGACGGCGCCCGCACCACCGCTCCCGCTCGCGGTGAGACCGCGCGCCGCCGGCCGCGATCGCTCCGTTGCTGGATGAAGGCCGTCTCATAGAGAAGTGGCTGTTCAACCGGCTCTCATGGGAAACTTAGGGTGGAGCGGTGGCATAGTGGCGGGCGCACTTGCGCTCTGGACCCGGCGACCCGAGTTCCATTGCCTAAAGTCTGTGTCGAGTGAGACCTGAACCGGTCCTGTGCTCCCTCTTGGTTAGACCGCACTGACCAGCGTGGTGAAGTATGGTCAAGTAACTTCCCAAGACTCGCATAGGTGTGGCGAGGCCCTCATCCAGCAGTGGATTGACAAAAGGCCTGAATGTGTAATGCGGACTGAGCTTTAGATGTAACTTAAGTAGAGGTATGGGTGGTGTGTGGTATTATTGGTGCTGGTGGTGGTGTGCGAGCTATATGTGGGTGGTGTGGTGATACGGGTGGTTGGGTGGGGTATGTGTGGTATGGGGAGCAGTGGTTTGCGCACTGTGCTTCGTGACCTGGGTTTGATTCCCATTCACGACCGAACCAATCCCTGCCTTTCCCGAGGTAGTTCCTGGTGCGGTGTGTAAAACATCGGCACAGGTGAGGCAAAGGCGGCCGGGACGTGGTGCTGGCCACCCACCCCCTCGTGTGCCGTGCCGGCCTTCACAGGTGCTCCCTAACAACACTTGCCCCAACAGTCTGTTAAGGCTACACGGGGGATCTTTGCCTGCGTGCAGGTCGCGTTCGCGGCGCCGGTCGTCGCCGACGCGTCGCCGCAGCTCGCCTCACCGCATGCGCCGAGCCAGCCCCCGGCGCCACCGCCACCCGTCGCCGTCTCACCACCACTCCTCGTCCTCGCGCCGGCGCTCACGCTCCCGCGGACGGCGCTCCTCCCCCCGGCCGCGCACGTGAGGGTCGCGCGCGGTGTGACGATGTGACGGTGCGGTGTGACGGCGCGGTGTGACGGCGCGGTGTGACGTGACGGTGCGGTGTGACGGTGTGACGGTGCGGTGTTGTGTGCGAGGTTTGGCGTGGTGAACGTTATGTGGTGTGTACGGTACGGGTTGTCTGCAAGGTGTGGCTAATGTTCCGACGTGGATGGTGGTCTTTGTATGGTGGTATATGTTGTATGTGTGTTGTGTGTGGTGTATGGTGTTGTGTGTGGTGTGTTTTGTATATGGTAGGTAGCGCTATGTGTGGTAGTGTGAGAAGTGTGTATGCTATGGGTGATGTGTGTAGTTTTGTTGTATGGGCAGTGTGCTAGGGTGGTGGTGTTGTGTGTGTTAGTGTGAGAATTGTGTATGCTATGGGTGATGTGTGTCGTTGTGTTGCAGTATGGCCAGTGTGCTAGGGTGTTGGTGGTGTGTGTGGTAGTTCTCTAATGATGATGGTGACTGGCTGCTGTTGGCGCAGGCATAAATCCCGGTCTCGATCCTTCAGTGCCTCCTCACCACGCCGGCGCCACTCACATCGGTCGGCACCTCACCGGACGCGCCACCCTCACCGCTCCCACTCTCCTCATCCAGGTGGGTAGCCCTCACTCATGCACACAAAGACAAAGATCCCCGTATAGCCTTAACAGACTGTAGGGGCAAGTGCTGTTAGCGAGCACCTATGAAGGCCGAAACGGTGCACGAGGGGGTGGGTGGCCAGCACCACGCCCGACCGCCTTTGTCTCTCCTGTGGCGATGTTTACACACCGCACCGGGTACTCATTTGAGGCTGAGTCGACCTAGGGGAGGCCCAGGACCGGTTCAGATAATCGCCACTGAGTGTTGGCCGTGAGCGGGAATCGAACTCGGGTCGCCGGTTTCGTAGCGCAGCGCGCTAACCGCTACACTATCGTGCACACACACACACACCCTTATCGCAGTCACCTGACACACATGCAGATTCATACTCGCCCACTACGCCGCAGTGGTGAGATGTTAACTCCCTCGCCTGGTATCTCGGAGGTCGTGGGTTCGATCCCAAACTCTTGACGCCTGTATATTTTGAGTCTGCATGTTCTCCCCGTGGTCTTGTGGACTTTTCTCCGGGTCCTCCGGTTTTTCCCTCCACATTTAGAAACACGTGTTTTCAGTATTTGGCTGCTGTAAATTTCCACGTGATAAGCCACTTCGTTGAGCTATCATTTGTTCCCAGGGCACTTCTGAAAAGGAGCTCAATAGCTCGGTGGGCCTTGACTGGTAAAATAATAACATTTTATTGTTTTAACAGCTTTATAGTTTACCACACGCCCTCTCATGCCCACCGAGCACCACATTAGTCCTGGTCGCACAGCTGGTAGAGGCTCGCTGCCGCGCGATGGTTTCATCTGACGCACTTTCCTCTTCACGTTCATCGCAGACGTGAAGCGGCACGGAGGAGGCCGCTCCTTGTCCAAGTCTCCCAAGGCTGGATCCTCCGACTCTGGTGAGCACGAGCGGGGGATGTAGACGATGGGGGGGGGGGGGGGGGGGCGTTTAACGAGGCTTTGGCTAACGAGGTGGCGTCGGAGTGTTGGTGAAGGCGGCAAGCGTGGTGCGATGCAAGTGGACTTGGCCGCAATGCCCTCCGAACCCTTGCTCGGCGACGTGGCGCCGTTGCGGCGTGGTGACGTGGTGGTATTGGTGGTGACGTGGCGACGTGGTGGTGGTGACGTGGTGGTGGTGTTGGTGGTGACGTGGCGATGTGGTGGTGTTGGTGGTGACGTGGCGACGTGGCGGCGTGGTGGTGGTGGTGGTGGTGGTGACGGCGACGTGGTGGTGGTGACGTGGCGACGTGGTGACGTGGTGGTGACGGTGGTGACGTGGTGACGTACTTTGCGGAAATAAAAAACCCCCACACAATCGACACGGCGTGGGGGGGGGGGGGGGGAGCCCTCATCTCGCAGTGGATAGACGAACGGGCTGTACACGTGCATTGACAAGGGCTGCTGGTGAGGAGGTACTCGCGAGGGGGGAGGCCAAGGAGTTTTTGACGGCGGCTCACGCCGAGCTTGTTGACGAGGGTTCTTTATCGAGGACGTGTTAACGAGGATGGTTGATTGGGGGTGAGGAGGAGCTGTTGACGAGGTGCTGCTACTTGTTTCAGACGAGGAGAGGAAGGGGACGAACCCGGACTCGGTGCAGACCCGGCGCCAGTACCGACGCCAGAACCAGGACTCGAGCTCCGGTAAGGGTGTGTGTGTGTGTGTACAGCCTCAAAGTGAGTACCTGGTGCGGTGTGTAAACATCGTCATTCGGGAGACAATGATGGCCTGGAGTGGTGCTGGCCACTCGTGCGCTGTGCCGGCCTTCATCGGTGCTCACTTACAGCACTTGCACCAACAGTCTGTTAAGGCTACACGGGGGATCTTTGTCTTTTTAGTAAAAAAAACCCGTGCCACAGCCCACACATTCGCACTGCTCGCGATCCCCTCCCTCGCCCCCCTCCCTCGCCCCCCTCCCTCGCCCCTCTCCCTCGCCCCCTTCCCTCGCCCCCTTCCCTCGCCCCCCTCCCTCGCCCCCCTCCCTCGCCCCCCCTCCCTCGCCCCCCTCCCTCGCCCCCCTCCCTCGCCCCCCTCCTCCCTCGCCCCCCTCCCTCGCCCCCCTCTCGCCAGCGCCGACACCTGACGCCCGTGCGTGGCTCTCGCCGCTCCGTGTCGTTCTCAGACTCGTCTCCGTCATCGTCCTCGGAGGAGGAGGAGGCGGCGGCGGTGGCAGTGGTGAAGGTGGCGGAGAAGGAGGTGGTGCATCCCCACCCATCCCCCCCGCGTCGCCCGCGGCACAGGGACCACTCGCCGCCCAGGTGGGGGTCGCGCCGTCTAGAGTAGCGTCATCTTCGCCGCCGCCTCGACGGTGGCGAGATGTTAACTGCTTTTCCTGGTATTCAGGAGATCGTGGGTTCTATCCCGACCCTGACGCCTGCTGTATATTTTTAGTTTGCGTGTCTTTCTCCCCGTGGTCGAGTGGAAAAACACACGCGGAAAGACGCGGAAGAACACACGGATACATTGAGATAGAGACGTGGAGGGGTATACTGGCAGACGCGGAGATACACACAGTAATATACACGTGCACACATACACGTAGATATACAGAGCCATGGAGATCCACGTAGACGGAGACATAGAGGTAATCCACACGGACACATATACAGACACACAGAGGACTGAGACATACACCCTTACACACAGCGAGACACGGAGACACAAACAGGCACAGACACAACAACAGCCGCCATTCGCCACTAAGTGGCGGTGATATTACCATGGCGCTTGTGCCAGGAGACAGACACGGAGACAAACACACACAGCGCTGTGTAGCAGGCGGTGGTGGTGGTAGTGCTGTGGAGCAGGTAGTGATGGTGGTGGTAGCACTGTGGAGCAGGTGGTGGTGGTAGCGCTGTGGAGCAGGTGGTGGTGGTGGAGGTGGTTGTAGCGCTGTGGAGCAGGTAGTGGTGGTGGTGCTGTGGTGCAGGTGATGGTGGTGGTGGAGGTAGCGCTGTGGAGCAGGTGATGGTGGTAGTGCTGTGTAGCAGGCGGTGGTGACCGGCGCTGGCTCTCGGGACTGCGTGTGCCGATGGGTAAAGCCGTGGTGCGCGTGCGTTTGTGTCGTTTTCACGCTGCCAGGGCGCCACTGGTGGAAGCCCACCCCCCACCGCACCCACCAAGGTGGGACATCGCCCGGCACACACCGGCACGCTCTACGCCCGGCCTAGCGCCCACGGTCACGGGCGGGAGCCTGACGAGATGGCGCCGAGGTCCCCTCCCAGCCCCCCCCTCCCCCCGTTGTGTGATGCAGTGCCGATGGCAATTAAAAGCCTCGCCGGGTCCCGGGGGGGCTTTTTGAAGAGTGTCAAGTTACGCCGGGCTGTTTGGCCAAATCCGTGAATGAGTCTTTTGTCAAGTTGGAGGAAACCAGAGGCCGGATGAAAGTCCGTGCTAATGAGGGGGTTACTCTCGGCACGGCCATGTGATCGACGCAGCTGGTAGCCCCACGTCCTAAAACCCCCAGGCAAGCTCTGGTGGCCACCCATCCGCTAACCAGGCTCACTGCTGCTTGGCTTCAAATGTTCCCGATGGTATCGGAAAGTTTTTGAAGACTTGCTCGCAAGGTAGTGACGTGGTGAGCGTGGTTATGGAGGAGTGTGTCTGTATCGAGGTTAGCAACATCGTCCTGCAAACTCGGCGACCTGGGTTTGATTCCTGGCTACGTCAAACATCGGTGGCCAGTGATATCTAGACAGGTCCTGGGTGCTCCCTAAGGTCAACTTAGCCCTAAATGAGTAGCTAGTGTCGTGTGTAAACATCTCCACTGGGAGACAAAGGCAGCCGGGAATGGTGCTGGCCAAACCTCTTGTGCGCCTTGCCGTTCTAAATAGGTGCTCGCTAACGGCACTTTCCCCAACAGTCTGGTGAGGCTACGCGGGGGATCTGTGTGTGTGTAACGTCGTGCCGTTGTTCGCTCAGGCGGCGCCGCAGCGGCTCCCCCGGACGTCGTAGGCGCTCGCCCTCCCCTCGGCGCCGTCGCAGCCCGTCGCCGCACGCCCACCGCAGGTCGCGCACCGCTCCCCCCGTGCCCCTCATCCGTGTCGTACAGCTGTCTCTGCTGTGCTGCTGTGTGTAGTGCATGTGTCTCTGCTGTGCTGCTGTGTGTAGTGCTTGTGTCTCTGCTGTGCTGCTGTGTGTTGTACTTGTGTCTCTGCTGTGCTGCTGTGTGTAGTGCATGTGTCTCTGCTGTGCTGTTGTGTGTTGTGCTTGTGTCTCTGCTGTGCTGCTGTGTGTAGTGCATGTGTCTCTGCTGTGCTGTTGTGTGTTGTACTTGTGTCTCTGCTGTGTTGTTGTGTGTTGTGCTTGTGTCTCTGCTGTGCTGTTGTGTGTTGTGCTTGTGTCTCTGCTGTGCTGTTGTGTGTTGTGCTTGTGTCTCTGCTGTGCTGCTGTGTGTAGTGCATGTGTCTCTGCTGTGCTGTTGTGTGTTGTACTTGTGTCTCTGCTGTGTTGTTGTGTGTTGTGCTTGTGTCTCTGCTGTGCTGCTGTGTGTTGTGCATGTGTCTCTGCTGTGCTGTTGTGTGTTGTGCTTGTGTCTCTGCTGTGCTGCTGTGTGTAGTGCATGTGTCTCTGCTGTGCTGTTGTGTGTTGTACTTGTGTCTCTGCTGTGTTGTTGTGTGTTGTGCTTGTGTCTCTGCTGTGCTGCTGTGTGTAGTGCATGTGTCTCTGCTGTGCTGTTGTGTGTAGTGCATGTGTCTCTGCTGTGCTGCTGTGTGTAGTGCATGTGTCTCTGCTGTGCTGCTGTGTGTTGTGCATGTGTCTCTGCTGTGCTGCTGTGTGTAGTGCATGTGTCTCTGCTGTGCTGCTGTGTGTTGTGCTTGTGTCTCTGCTGTGCTGCTGTGTGTAGTGCTTGTGTCTCTGCTGTGCTGCTGTGTGTAGTGCATGTGTCTCTGCTGTGCTGTTGTGTGTTGTGCATGTGTCTCTGCTGTGCTGTTGTGTGTTGTGCTTGTGTCTCTGCTGTGCTGCTGTGTGTAGTGCTTGTGTCTCTGCTGTGCTGTTGTGTGTAGTGCTTGTGTCTCTGCTGTGCTGCTGTGTGTAGTGCATGTGTCTCTGCTGTGCTGTTGTGTGTTGTACTTGTGTCTCTGCTGTGTTGTTGTGTGTTGTGCTTGTGTCTCTGCTGTGCTGCTGTGTGTAGTGCATGTGTCTCTGCTGTGCTGTTGTGTGTAGTGCATGTGTCTCTGCTGTGCTGCTGTGTGTAGTGCATGTGTCTCTGCTGTGCTGCTGTGTGTTGTGCATGTGTCTCTGCTGTGCTGCTGTGTGTTGTGCTTGTGTCTCTGCTGTGCTGCTGTGTGTAGTGCTTGTGTCTCTGCTGTGCTGCTGTGTGTAGTGCATGTGTCTCTGCTGTGCTGCTGTGTGTAGTGCTTGTGTCTCTGCTGTGCTGTTGTGTGTAGTGCATGTGTCTCTGCTGTGCTGCTGTGTGTAGTGCATGTGTCTCTGCTGTGCTGCTGTGTGTTGTGCTTGTGTCTCTGCTGTGCTGTTGTGTGTTGTGCTTGTGTCTCTGCTGTGCTGCTGTGTGTAGTGCTTGTGTCTCTGCTGTGCTGCTGTGTGTAGTGCTTGTGTCTCTGCTGTGCTGCTGTGTGTAGTGCTTGTGTCTCTGCTGTGCTGCTGTGTGTTGTGCTTGTGTCTCTGCTGTGCTGCTGTGTGTTGTGCTTGTGTCTCTGCTGTGCTGTTGTGTGTAGTGCTTGTGTCTCTGCTGTGCTGCTGTGTGTTGTGCTTGTGTCTCTGCTGTGCTGCTGTGTGTTGTGCTTGTGTCTCTGCTGTGCTGCTGTGTGTAGTGCTTGTGTCTCTGCTGTGCTGCTGTGTGTTGTGCTTGTTTCTCTGCTGTGCTGCTGTGTGTTGTGCTTGTGTCTCTGCTGTGCTGCTGTGTGTAGTGCTTGTGTCTCTGCTGTGCTGCTCTGTGTTGTGCTTGTGTCTCTGCTGTGCTGCTGTGTGTAGTGCTTGTGTCTCTGCTGTGCTGCTGTGTGTTGTGCTTGTGTCTCTGCTGTGCTGCTGTGTGTAGTGCATGTGTCTCTGCTGTGCTGCTGTGTGTAGTGCTTGTGTCTCTGCTGTGCTGTTGTGTGTAGTGCTTGTGTCTCTGCTGTGCTGCTGTGTGTAGTGCTTGTGTCTCTGCTGTGCTGCTGTGTGTTGTGCAAGGCCATCTCCCCCGTACTGAACCGCGTCTCTCTACCTCCGCAGGTCCCCATCTCCGGGCCACCGTCACCGCTCCCCCGCCGTGCGCCGCCGCCCCTCGCCCCCCTCCCCGCCTCCCCCTCGGCCCAAGCGCCGCTCCTCCGGGTCCCCCCCGCCGCCCCCCCGCCGCCGCGCCCCCTCCCACTCCCCTTCGCCGCCGCCCCCCCCCAGGGCCAAGCGCCGCGCCTCCCCCTCCCCGTCCCCCGTGCCCCCCCAGCGCATCAAGCGGCGGCAGGGGTCCGCCTCGCCCCCCGCCGCGAGACGCGGGGCGTCCCCCCCGGCCCCTCCCCCGCGGCGCGAGGCCTCTCTCTCGGGGTCCCCCTCCCCTCCCCCGAGCCCCCCGCCCCAAGCGAAGAAGGGGGGGCCCGCGAGGTCCCCCTCCCCCAGGCCCCTCCCGCGCCGCCCCGCGTCCGCGAGCCCCCCCCCGCCCCCGCGACGCAGGGACCGGGCGTCACCGTCGCCCGGGCCGGAGAGGGGGTCCGCCGACAGGGGGAGCCCCTCCCCCCCGCCCGCGCCCCCCCCCGTCAAGACCCGCGCCCGCTGGGACGCCCGCCCGGCGGCCCCTCCCCTCGACGGGGCCGCGGGGGAGAAGCCGGCGGAGGAGCGGCGGGCGGCACCGGCGCCCGCCCCGCCCGACACGCGGTGAGCGCCGCGCCGGCAAATCACCGCCTAGCGGTGCCCTGAACTTTCTTTTTTGTCCGCTGGCGTGACCGAGCCGTTCCGAGTCCGTGCCGTGCCAGCACGCAGCGGGTCAGCAGGCGCCGGCTGCTTTCCCTACCGCAACAAGCCGAGCCGTGCCGCTCGCTTGACACGCGCGGCGCGTGACGTCGGGACGCGTGTAGGTGACGCCGTGGCGCCGTGACGCTGTGACGCCGTGACGCTGTGTTTGAGTTGGCCCGGCTCTGCTCTGGCTCTGCTCCGGCTCTGCTTGGTGAAATTTCAGTGGAAAACCACCTGTCCTGTGCTGGCCCGGTGCTGGCACAACTTGGATGTGCAATAGAACAGGACCCTGCGGGGTGGGCTGGTAGGAACGAATAACCAAAGAATATAAACATAATGTATTATTACACTTGTTTAGCCAGGAAAGGGCCACTGAGTCGAAAGGTTTTTGTAGGGTCCTGCCAAGTGTTTGCAGTAGGGGGCGATGTTGCTACACCGAATCGGACGATACGAAGGGAGACTTTGAGGCCTAGTTCTAGGCTTTAGGCCTAGCTGTAGGCTTTAGGTCGCTGTGAGTTAATTTTTAATTTAAATGTTTTAATAATGAATGTAAAAGCTTTAAATTTAAATGTTTCTATTTAAAAACATCAGGGAATGTAACATTGTGAAACATTAACTTCCTTTCACACACGCGGGGGTACGATACGAAGGGAGAGTTTGTGGCCTAGTTCTAGGCTTTAGGCCTAGCTGTAGGCTTTAGGGCACTGTGAGTTTTTTATTTAATTTAAAAGTTTTAATTAAAAGCTATCTCAGGGAATTATGAGGGAATGTTACACGTGTTTAGCCAGGAAAGCCTCATTAATTTAAATGTTTTAATTAAAAGCTATCTGAGGGAATTATAAGGGAATGTTACACTTGTTTAGCCAGGAAAGCGTCACTGAGTCGAAAGGTTTTTGTAGGGTCATGCCAAGTGTTTGCAGTAGGGGGCGATGTTGCTACACGGACGGACGGACGAAATAATCTATTGTAGGCTGGTCCACTTCGTTCCTACCAGTAAAATGGATATTTGAGGTCGGGTTAGTTAGGCATAAGAGGGTTATAGGGTTTTATTAGAGTTGGCGGTCGGGGTAGTGTTAGAGTTTGGGGGTAGGGGTTAGAGTGGCGGGCAGCGTTGTGCGTTGGTAGTTTTGTTGGTGTTGTAGTTAGGAGTCGGGTTAGGGCGTGTGAGTGTGTCCGAGTCTCCGTGGCGATGGCTGCGCTCACGCTGTGCTCATCTGTGTGACGGCAGCGGCGAGGCGACGCGCGCGGGGGTGAAGCGACCGGCGGAGCGCTCTGCGTCTCCCTCCGCCTCGCGCTCCCCCTCTCACTCGCCCTCGCGCTCTGGCAGCGAGCCCCCCGCAACCGCCCGGGCCCCCCCCCACGCCTTGGCGTCCCCTCCACACGTGGACCACGACGACTCCCACAGCGCATCCCCTGACCAGGTTTGTGGATGCCTGTGAGAGCAAGTGTATGTGTGTGTGGCCCTCCCCTGGGTAGACTCGGCCTAAATTGAGTACCTGGTGCGGTGTGTAAACATCGCTACTCGGGAGACAAAGGCGGCCGGGAGTGGTGTTGGCCAGCCACCCCCTCGTGTGCAGTGCCGGCCTTCAATAGGTGCTACTCGCTAACAGCACTTGCCCCAACAGTCTGTTAAGGCTATACTGGGGGATCTTTGGCTTTGTGGCAAGCGGTAGCATGAGAGATGGCGCGCTGCACTATGAACTTGACCACCCGAGTTCGATTCCCGCTCACGGCCAACACCAGTGACGATTATCTGAACCGGTCCTGGGCCTCCCCGAGGTCGACTCGGCCTCAAATGAGTACTTATTGCGGCACGTAAATTCACCACTTGGGAGATAACGGCGGCTGGGCGTGGTGCTGGCCGCTCACCCCCTCGTGTGCCGTCACGGCCTTCATAGGTGCTCGTTAACAACAGTCTGTTCAGGGTATATGTGGGATCTATGTCTCTGCGTGCATGTGATGTCGTGGTACGTGCACGCGTGCGCTCTCCCTGCTACGCGTAATACAGCCGATGATTGCAACGAAGCTCCCACGTCGCGCGAGGAAGGATATTCCGACCAACGTCGGCGCATTTTAGTTTTTCATAGCGTGTTTTTTAGCAGCATAACCTTGCCCTGCGATATCGATACACGCACATTGCTCGTCTCTCGACTCAACTGAGCCTTGTGGCGGGGTGTGGGGCAGGTGTCGGACGGCGAGTCCAAGAAAAAGAAGAAGAAAAAGGAGAAGAAGCAGCACAAGAAGGAGAAGAAGCACCGCAAACACAAGAAGCATCGCAAGGAGCGCGGCGACCTGGCCCCCGAGGTGCTGCCCCCCCTAGCCTCGACCTAACCCCTCGCACGCAGGGTCAGCCAGGGCGCTGAGTGACCCCGCGTGTGCTTGCGTGTGTGTGCGTGCGTGCGCGTGCGTGCGTGCGTGCCAGAGGTGGGACAAAGTCATTGTTATGCAAGTCCAAGTCGAGTCTGAAGTCATCAAATTCATGACTCGAGTCTGACTCGAGTCCAAGTCACATGACTCGAGTCCACACCTCTGGTGCGTGCGCGGGTGAAACGAACGCCGCTTGGTTCTCATTGAACTCGGGGTGGCGGCCGTGCGCCCATCCACCTGCGGCGAGCAGGGCCGGGGGGGGGTGGGCGGAGCCTCTCTTCCTTACCGAGGGCAGGATAGGACTCTACGATTGGTTGTTCTGGTAGGGTGGGGGCGGGGTATAGTCGCATCAACACGCTCACGCCGCAGCCACTTCTGTCACCTAAGTGACTTTGAGCGCGGCGCTTCATCAGTGCTAAACGTGGCGGGTTTTTTGTTTTTGCCACAGTCGAAAATTCTCCCCCCCCCCCCTCCGGTACCGGGTTAGTGTGGCTAACGCGCTCGCAGTGACCCATTTTAATGTTTCCTGTGGGCCTGCCGCAGGCCATGTGAAATAAAGTGATGGCTTCGTGTCCGGCCCCCGGGGGGAAGCCGGAGGTTCCCCCAGCCCCTGGCGTTTAGGCGCCTTTGGTGCCGAGTGCAGGACGCAGTCTGCGGTCTGCAATCAATAGCTCTGGTTTAGATTTTTTTTTTTTTTATATATCGGTGATTGTGAATAGGGTTGTGGGAATATAAAAAATGTCTTTGGCAGTGGGGTCGAGTGGGGAACTTGGGCCCTGGTGCAAGGAATGCAATGGGCCTCCCCAACGCAGTCCAATTTGCCACTCCTCCACCCTCTTCGTAGCCCCTCCAGCCAGTGGGCCCCGGCAGCAGTTGCACCGCCTGCACACTCGATAGATACCCCCCAATGCTCCCTGCAGCCACCATCTGTGCCCGCTCTCGCTCATGAGATGGGTGGCACCGAGCACCCAGCGGAGTTAGTGGTGCTGCTTCCACGTTGTGCAGGTGGTGTCCATGCTCAGGGTGTCCCGGCTCTGGGTGTCCCGGCTCTGGGTGTCCCGGTTATCGGTGCTGTCCCACAGCGACGAGCTCTGAACTTCCTCTCGAGGCCATTGTGATTCCGAGGTCGGAGCGCTGAGCCCGCCACGACTCTCATTAACAACCCACGTTCTCAAAGCGCAGTAAGTTGATGGACAACATTCCTGCTCGGAGAATTCAAAATATCGTTTGGAACATTACTCTGAGATAGCAGGGCGAGTGGGAAAGTGCTGGCCCCCTCTTGTCTAGACCAGCGGCCACTTTGAAGGGACCTCGGAGGTAGCTCTGTGAAGTCCGCTTTCGTGGGCCGTTCTCTAACACGAGTGGGTCGCACTGCTCTGCGCGATTTCCAAAACGATTCTTTGTCGCTTGATACAACACCGATAGCACGATGGGGATACGACTGGGGGAAAAGACACAAAAATTATATAAAAATATTTTAAGCTTGTTAAGGTTAATGGAGATGGACATGTGATGGCCTCGGTCATGGGCAAGTGGTCTATGATTGTTGTGTGTGGTGCTTACGATGGGTTTGTCGTGTGCGGCTGGGTGAGGTATTGATGTTGGTGGAGCTGAACCAAGTTTCTCTGAGCAGGCAGATGCCTCTGTTACGGATGACCGAGTGTGATCGTGTGCGAGTCTGTGTGTGGGTGGGTGAGTGTATGCGGGTGTACGAGTGAGAATGTTAGTGAGTGCGAGTGGTTGTGTGCCTGGGTGAGTGTGTGTCTGGATAGGTGCGAATTGTGAGCAGGTGTGTGTCTGCTTGAGCGACATTGGTCAAGCCCCATAATACCATGGAAAGGTCTGGACTTTTCTTTCGGGGTCACAGATCCTCTGCTCACAATCATTAAGCTCTCCGTCTCAGGCAGTTAACCAATAACACCTGGGTCTGTCCCGTGACCTCCTGTCAGCGAGCGTTCGACACTTGTATGTGTGAACTTTTTTCGCACGCCCTCCATAGCCAACCGTGCTAATCGGAGGTTTGTAGGGAAGGACAACAAACTAGCACAAAAAGCATTTCACGAGGCCTCAGTGCGCCACGTCTGGCACAAGCGCCTTGGTGCCGTCATCACCACTTAGCGACGAATTGGTGGCTGTTGCGGAGAGAGTACCAGTGTGATTGAGCAAAAGTGTGCGAGCATGTGGGTGTATGTATGGGTGTATGTATGGGTGTGAGAGTGCTGGTATTGGAGTGCGGCTGTGAGAGTGCGGTTGAGTGAGTCCGGCTGTGAGAGTGCGGTTGAGTGAGTGCGTGTGTGTGTGTGTATGTGTGAGTGCGTGTATGTGTGTGAGTGCGTGTGTGTATGTGTGTGTGTGAGTGCGTGTGTGTATGTGTGAGTGCGGGTGTATGTGTGAGTGTATGTGTGAGTGCGGGTGTATGTGTGAGTGTATGTGTGAGTGCGGGTGTGTGAGTGTGTGTATGTGTGAGTGTGAGTGCGAGTGTATGTGTGTGTATGTGTGAGTGCGGGTGTGTGTGTACGTGTGAGTGTGAGTGCGGGTGTATGTGTGAGTGTATGTGTGAGTGCGGGTGTGTGAGTGTGTGTATGTGTGAGTGCGAGTGTATGTGTGTGTATGTGTGAGTGCGGGTGTGTGTGTACGTGTGAGTGTGAGTGCGGGTGTGTGTGTACGTGTGAGTGCGGGTGTGTGTGTACGTGTGAGTGTGAGTGCGGGTGTGTGTGTACGTGTGAGTGTGAGTGCGGGTGTGTGAGTGTAAGTCTGTCTGGGCTGTCCAGGCTGGGCGGGGGCGGCACGACTCAGGAGGGCTCGACGACCTGGAGCGGGCCCTGAGGGAGAAGGCTCTCGAGTCAATGCGCAAATCGGCCGCCCAGGCCACGTCCTGACCGCACAGCCAGCGGCACACCCCCCCTCCCCCCCCCCCCCCTCCCACCACCAACTCCCCTCCAGTGCGGCACACTCCCCCGCGGCACACCCAGCTCCCGGTAACACGGAGAGAGAGCCGTGCGTGCGATCCGACGCACCCACGGGATACGAAACCACCCGGCACTGGCAGAGGCACGAGACGTGTCGCATGTGAGCCGGCCAGTTGCACACTGCTGCACAGCGCACCACTCCATACCTTGCACACCACACCGAGCGCACCACACCGCTAACCACACCACTAGAACTCACCGAGTCCACCATCCCGCTACAACTCGCTGAGCACACCGCTAAACCACACTGAGCGGACCAAACCGCTACACCACACTTCGTACGCCGCACCACTACACCACACTGACCACACCAAACCAACTCGCTTCGCCACACCACACCAACTCACGGAGCGCACCACACCGCGACACCACACTGAGCAAAGCCCACAGCTGCACAATGCAATGACCACGTCACACCACAATGAGCGAGTAACTATTCCGTAAACATAGGGCTCCATACTGTGCACACGCAGCGCACCACACCACGCATAAGGCACCGTGCACATCACACACACGCGGAGTGCACGACACACACACACACCCGTGTATCTCTGCGACGCTGGTGCCCGTTGTTGTAATCAAGAGAAATAACACGGGTTACGTGCACATGACGTTTTGTCTGCTGGGCTGATTTCTTTATCTGTATAAATGTCTCTTCGTCGAGGTGCAACCGCCGTTAGCAAAACAGATGCCGTCGTTAATTCTCACGCCCGCGGCTACCGCTTGTGTTGCGCCGGCGGTCGCGTTACCGTAGCGCTTTGCGTGTTGGGTTTTTGCGTTGGAGGGAGAGCGGTAGTCCTGGGGAGTCTCGCAGGGACAGGCCGAGGGTGCGAATCGGACTCTCGGCCGTTGAGGTCGAGTCGAGGCCCCTCCCGAGTTGTTTCATCAAAGGAGGGGGGTGGTGGGGAAGGAGGCGAGCGTTGGGGGCTTTAATAAAATCGCGGCGGAGGGGGGGGGGCGGGGTCTATCCGGATAGGCGGCTGCCCGTGCACCTCTTCACCACGCCTGTGGTGAAGACTGGCTCAAGTGCCACCTACCCCCAGTTGCCTGGAAAATATCGAGCGAGAAATGGGAAGCCCTGAGGCGAAGGGGACCCGGTGTGTGACAGGCCGTGTCACGGGATGGATTTGCGTTGTAATTTGTAGCTGGCGGCATGCGGCGGCAGGATGAGGAGGGGAGGGGGGTGGGGTGCTCTGTGGCCCCTCAGGCCCTTCCGCCCCCCCCCCCAGGGCTTTAGCTCCCCCTGATTGGCAGGAGCGTCCACCCAGCGCTGTCCCCACCACGAGCCAGGGGCGGTGCGTTCGCGAGGCTTGGGGGTCTGTTGGGGGTCTGGCTCCGTACTCGAGCAAGAGGCTCCTGCCGCTGCTCGGGATCCAGCTTCCCCGCCCCCCCGAGAGTGACCGGGCCTCGGCGACCTTGGCTGCTTTGAGCTCGCGCCTTTCCGAATGTAAATGACGCAGACTCGGTGAGTTGTTGATTTGATTTTTTTTTTCAAAACTTGTGGACATTCGGCAAAATAAATAGGTTTCATTTAAGCGTCACTGTGTCGTGCGTCTTGAGTTCACGTGGCGTGCGCGTAGGGCGTGGGTGGACAGTCAGCAGTTGGACTCCACGTTCACCTGGGCTGGGGTGGTGTACACATCACGCAACAACAAGGAAGCCTTGCTGTGGCAGCAAGTCCCAGCAGTCTTCGCTCGGATGGGACGGACGAGGGTTGGGGTGTTCGACACGCGGCCGGTCCGACGTGATGCTGCCATGGCACCAAGCAGGACGTCTGATCACCACCTGCAAGACGACGGGTGACCTGAACGTTCTCGTTCATGAATTCATTCTGGTTCTAAGCAACAAACTCTCCTGACAAGAAACATTTTCATGGCCAGTGCATTGAAAGTGAAGTGCGGGACGGGGGGGGGGGGGCAAAGTAGGAAAGCAAATGGTTTAGTTCTTCCCCCACACCTCCAATGAGCACGCTTGGCTACGTACGGTGCGAAAGAAGTTCAGCATGTGCCTGGAACCAGGAGAGAGGTTACACCACCGCCCGTGACCACATTAAGAAAGTGAAGGCTGCCAAACAAGGTTGGAGGTGCCCATAACAGCATCGTCGTCCAGGGCCTCGCAACAATTCGGACGTCGCAAGAAACAAGCTCGCTGCAACATCGGAGAGAACGCCTCTCACGTGAGACTCACTTTGGCCTATTGACTTGTCGTCGTGGGAGGAGGATCCAGGCTCCCACGTGGGTGCTCTGCGTCGCGCGGAAGCCGAGTCCCCGCACCGTCGTTAATCGCTCGCCACAGCTCCCTGCGGCGCACGGCAACCACGCCACTTTACCCGCCGACCACGTTACCCGCCCGCGTCGCTGCAGTAGTCGCACCGGCTAACGACGGACTTCTGAAGGAGGTGCACGCGAAGAGTTGCAGCGGCAATTTCTCACAACATCTCCCCCCACGCGGTCGCCTCTCTTCAGCGCTCGCGCAATCCCTTCTCGTGGCCAAAAGTCCAAGTGGGCCTCCAGCTCGCATTAGCAGGGGCTCCTCTGCTGGACACAGCCCAGGAGGACGTCCAGTTTTGACCTCGCCACGTGGGCTTGACCCGGACGTCCGTGGAACGTACTCCACCACCGGTTCTGTGGGCTACGTTGGGGATATAGTAGTAGGTTTTTACCCTTTAAACTGGTACAAAACTGACACCTTTATACAAGGCATCATGTTTGCAATAACCACAACACCAGTCAAAATGTAAACAAAAAGAAACAACTCTGATAATGGTAATGATATGCACTGTCCTTGAAGTTGATTGGTCCACACCTGAGACAGCTTTCCTTAGAGCCTAGTCTCCATTGGTGTTGGACCACATGACGCCAAAAGGCGCACAACTCAAAAACAGTGCACTATCAGAGTATTGCCTTGTATAAAGGTGTCAGTTTTGTACCAGTTTAAAGGGTAAAAACCTACTACTATATTTTGCCACTGGTAAAGGAGGTCTCAGTGTACGTGGGGGATCTTTGTCTCTGTGTACGTGACGTCAGCATCAGCTGGGGTTGTCCGTGTGTCCACGTTTGACCTGGATATGTGACATCCACCCCCCCCCCCCCCATAGCCTCCATGAAGTGTCGGGCCAGTGCTGCTACAATGGCGCTTGAGGGGGTGTTGTGGCCAGCACCACGCCCGGCCGCCTTTGTCTCTCCCGTGCTGATGTTCACACTGGGTATCTGTTCAAGACTGAGCTGACCTAGGGGTAGCCCATGACCCACAGTGGCTGGGAATAGAAGTCGGCCAGGTTCACAGCGGTGTGCTCAACCATTGCGCCACCTCACAACTGACGTTTTCCACGAGTCATGCCCGCATCGCACTTGTGCCAGGCTAGGTGCATGTGAAATGTTGAAGGCTTCCTGTCTGTGCAGCAGCCACACTGGCAGGAGGTCATGGGGCAGGACCAGGTGATATGGGAATGCTTGGCCACGTGATCCATGCAACACGATCCTCGCTCACTCGAGTGAGTTAGATTCCCACTCAGGCCTACGTGCGTGCGAGTGTTGGGTGAGTCTACGTGCGTGCGAGTGTTGGGTGAGTCTACGTGCGTGCGAGTGTTCAGTGGGTGAGTCTAAGCGAGTGTTGGGTGAGTCTACGTGCGTGCGAGTGTTGGGTGAGTCTACGTGCGTGCGAGTGTTCAGTGGGTGAGTCTAAGCGAGTGTTGGGTGAGTCCACGTGCGTGCGAGTGTGCGAGTGTTGGGGTGAGTCTGCAGTGTGGGCGTCGTACCCCTGTGCTTCTGGTGGGATCTTGTATCGAGCCAGGATGCGGCGGAGTTCCCGCTCCAGTTCCTGCACGGCCAGAGCAGCGAGTTCACGATCACCGCTCTGTGTGACCACCACGACATCTCTCGACATCGCGATTGAAAACTCGCGTCTTGAGAACTGCTTCGTGTGTAGTTTACCGGCCTTCCCCCCGCACCGCCGATTAGCACGGTTGGCTACGTATGGCGCGAAAGAAGTTCAACGTACACACGTACATCGAGAAGTCACCGTGGCCCAAGCCGCTGATGCCGCCACCACCGCCTCCCCCCCCCTGCTTCCAGATCCCACGGCTACTGCTGCACGGCAGAGACGAGACATCCAATATCTACCCTCACAAGTCTCCCACCCTCTGCTCTGAGGCTCACAGAGACCCAAGACTCGCAGAGACGCCCACAAACTCACCAAGACCCACACTTACAAAGCGATGCACAGACCAGGGGTCGGCTACCTGCCGCGTGCGTCTCTTTCTCGACTGCTCCGTGACGTCATTTATTAAGGACCACCACCGTCTCGTGTTCACGCGGCATCGCGACCCTTTTGGCAAATTCGACAAAATGGCTCCAATTGTTATTTTCGTTGGCATAGGCTCACACAGAGACCCGGAGAGTAACACGGAGACACGCGGCGACCCACAGACTCGTTGAGAACCAAGTTCTGCCCTCGGGCTCCCACCGTCCGCTCGGAGGTTCTCTCTTCCCGTTGGTCGCCAGACTCGTGGGGGCCGCTCCACAGCTGCCTGGCCGGGCAATCGGCCTCGCCCTGCACACGGCGTCCCGCCCAGCGCAGCCTGTTTGTGTCTGCACCACTCGCCCTGCCGCGTTCCCTTGCGGACTTACGCACCATGCTCTATCCCGTCTTGCCATGACCTCTCCCCCCCCCCCCCCCTGAGCACAAGGCAAAGGACGCATCCTCCCGTGCGCCCTCCGATTTATTTTTGCCAATTTTATTTTTTGTAGCTGGGCGATGCTGCAGCCCAGCGTTCGCTGATTGTTGTCGAAAGAGGAACGCGGTTCAAACCCGCCAGGCTGCCCAGCGGTGTGCGTTTTAACCGTTAAATACGACTACTTCGCGCGCCAGCTTTACCTACAGTGGACGCGAAATAATTTGCGACGTCGTTTCGAGAAGACGCGGCCGTCTGTGTGCCGGCGTCACGGTCCAAAGTTTGCCAAATTTTCACAAATCGCACATTTGTCAATTGGGGAAGCGCGTGGCAAGTGGTCGCGGGGCGCCCGATGGCTGAGACCTGACAGGACCCTCCCGAAGAAGAGCCACGAAGAGACGGAGGCCTTCGTGCGTAAGCAAGCGGAATAATCGTCATCACCAAGACCGCCAACTCGCAAGGGTCGCAAAGTGTGGGCACGCCGGAGCTCACCTCGGCCGATTTGTCCAGGCGCTGCGTGGACCGCGCCAGTCTGGCCGACTCCACCTGCGGCGCAGGTACAGCGCCATTTAGACACGCAGACGACGACGCACTTGAACCCGTTCGCTCAAGGTCGCGACGAGACCCAAGGTCACGACGAGACCCAAGGTGACGTCGAGACCCAAGGTCACGTCGAGACCCAAGGTCGCGACGAGACCCAAGGTCACCAACGAGACCCAAGGTCGCGACGTCACCCACCGACCCCGTTCCAGCGACCGGTGCAGAATCCAGGACGTTTATCAGCGATGCTAAAATGATGCTAGGAGGTGGCCGCGTGGCTAGGCCAGCCAATCTGGGTTTTGGCCCCAGCCACAGTTGGTGGGCTAAGCCCCGACAAATCACGCAGTGGCATCACAATCGCATCACATTTTACTGGATTTGAGTGACACCAGCTCTGGTGTCACTCACACTCGCCTCGTGTGTGCCGCACACGCACAACAACAACAACAACCACCATTCACCACTAAGTGTGCCAGGCCATGTGCACCTTGAGGCCACGTGAAGTGTCGAACGCCCGCTGGCAGGAGATCACGGGGCAGACCCAGGTGCCACAGGTCGACTGACTGAGATGAGTGGCCGATGCACCACCTGTGCCCCCTACTGTGCCAACTTGCTGTGCTTTAGCCACCCGGCGCTCCGCTCGTTGTTGTGAGCGTCGCTCCTCCGCCCTCTGTTGTTGTTGGAGGGCGACTGCCTCCAACTGCCCAGTAGCGTCCTTCACAAGCCTCCTCCACAGAGGCCGATCTTGACACCGCTGGTACCAGTCATCGGCAAGTCCACTCAGCTCCACATACTCCTATACCACATTACTCCATCTCTTCTCTAGCCCGTGCCGCGCCCGTTTAGCCCCCTCGATCCGGCCGAATAAAAGCTGTTTAGGCATGCGGTGGCTGGGCATGCGGGCTACATGACCCAGCCAACGCAGCCTTGCCTGCCGGAGGAGCTCACCGATGGGACTTTGTCCAGAGTTTTCAAGGATTTGTGAGCTTCTCACACAATCCAGCCTGTTTAAACCCAGGATGGATCGTAGGCAGGCCAGCCTAAATGTTTCTAACCGGCGAAGATGTTCTATTAAGGGGGGGTCCACGTTTCGCAAGCATAGAAAAGGGAGCGCATGACTGTGGCCGAGAAAACCTGAAGCTTCGTGCGGAGCGACAGACCAGGTCGCTTCCACACAGCGTTACGCAACCGATGAAAAGATATTGCCGCTGGACTGATTCGGAGTGAGACCTCTGCTGTCAAACCGGAGCCGGCCACGAGCACACTGCCCAGGTGTGGGAAACTCTCCACTCTCTCTCCACAACTGCCCCACGCGGCCTCGTGT